CAGGTGAGGGGAGGGAGGAGGAGGGAGGAGGAGGTCAGGCAGCACAGGTGAGGGGGAGGGAGGGGAGAGGAGGGGAGAGAGGGAGGGAGGTAGGAGAGAGGGGAGAGGGAGGGAGGAAGGAGGTCTTTGTCTCTGTTTCTCTGTCCTCACCCTTCTCTTAAGCTCCTTCTCTCCTCTTCCTCTGACCCTCTCTCTCTCTCTCTCTTCAGCTCCTTCTCTCCTCTTCCTCTAACCCTCTCTCTTTCTCTCTCTCTCCTCTCTCTCTTCAGCTCCTTTTCTCCTCTTCCTCTGACCCTCTCTCTCTCTCTCTCTTTCTCTCTCTCTCCTCTCTCTCTTCAGCTCCTTCTCTCCTCTTCCTCTGACCCTCTCTCTCTTTCTCTCTCTCTCCTCTCTCTCTTCAGCTCCTTCTCTCCTCTTCCTCTGACCCTCTCTCTCTCTCTCTCTCTCTTCAGCTCCTTCTCTCCTCTTCCTCTAACCCTCTCTCTTTCTCTCTCTCTCCTCTCTCTCTTCAGCTCCTTCTCTCCTCTTCCTCTGACCCTCTCTCTCTCTCTCTCTCTCTTCAGCTCCTTCTCTCCTCTTCCTCTGACCCTCTCTCTCTCTCTCTTCAGCTCCTTCTCTCCTCTTCCTCTGACCCTCTCTCTCTCTCTCTTCAGCTCCTTCTCTCCTCTTCCTCTAACCCTCTCTCTTTCTCTCTCTCTCCTCTCTCTCTTCAGCTCCTTTTCTCCTCTTCCTCTGACCCTCTCTCTCTCTTTCTCTCTCTCTCCTCTCTCTCTTCAGCTCCTTCTCTCCTCTTCCTCTGACCCTCTCTCTCTTTCTCTCTCTCTCCTCTCTCTCTTCAGCTCCTTCTCTCCTCTTCCTCTGACCCTCTCTCTCTCTCTCTCTCTCTTCAGCTCCTTCTCTCCTCTTCCTCTAACCCTCTCTCTTTCTCTCTCTCTCCTCTCTCTCTTCAGCTCCTTCTCTCCTCTTCCTCTGACCCCTCTCTCTCTCTCTCTCTCTCTTCAGCTCCTTCTCTCCTCTTCCTCTGACCCTCTCTCTCTCTCTCTTCAGCTCCTTCTCTCCTCTTCCTCTGACCCTCTCTCTCTCTCTCTCTCTTCAGCTCCTTCTCTCCTCTTCCTCTGACCCTCTCTCTCTCTCTCTCTTCAGCTCCTTCTCTCCTCTTCCTCTAACCCTCTCTCTTTCTCTCTCTCTCCTCTCTCTCTTCAGCTCCTTCTCTCTTCTTCCTCTGACCCTCTCTCTCTCTTTCTCCTCTCTCTCTTCAGCTGCATCTTTCCTCTTCCTCTGACCCTCTCTCTCTCTCTCTCTCCTCTCTCTCTTCAGCTCCTTCTCTCCTCTTCCTCTGACCCTGTCTCTCTCTCTCCCTCTCTCTTCAGCTCCTTCTCTCCTCTTCCTCTGACCCTCTCTCTCTCCCTCTCTCTTCTTCAGGTGCGGTCAACAGTAAGTCCACGATCCTGAACTCGACCTCGGACTCGGACCTGATGCGGTACCGGACCATCTCTAAGATCCCTCAGATCACGCTGAACTTTGTGGACTTCAAGCCGGACCCTCTGCTCACGCTGCCCACGGGGGACATCGACCTCATCGCCCCCTGCAAGCTCATCGACCGCACCCACCACGTCACCGAGAAGGTCACGCAGGTAAGAGCGCCCCCTGTGGCCTGAGCCTGCTGCTGCAGCTGTGGGAGGGGGGAGATGGGGGAGACGGGGGAGAGGTGTGAGTTTGGAGATATCTTTGGCCTTTGTTCTGTTCAGTGGCTGTTGCTTTGCTCTGTTTTTGAATTATGAAATGAAAATAGAAATAATGAGATAAAAATCCTGTTCTGGTACTAGTTCTGGTTCTTGTTCTGGTTCTGGTTCTGGTATGCAAACCCAGTTGGACCTGTTTGTTTTAGTCCGCTCTGATCTGAGAGAATTCTGTCTCTTTCTTTTGCTGTTGTTGAAATCTAAATAAGACACAAGTGTGTTTTGGAATCACAGGTCACTTCATTGTGAAAGGAAGAGGAGGTGGTCTCTGGTCTGGTCTGGTCTCTGGTCTCTGGTCTCTGGTCTGTAGTCTGGTCTGGTCTCTGGTCTGGTCTGGTCTCTGGTCTCTGGTCTGTAGTCTGGTCTGGTCTCTGGTCTGGTCTGGTCTCTGGTCTCTGGTCTCTGGTCTCTGGTCTGTAGTCTGGTCTGGTCTCTGGTCTGGTCTGGTCTCTGGTTTGGTCTGTGCTCTGGTCTGTAGTCTGGTCTGGTCTCTGGTCTGGTCTGGTCTCTGGTTTGGTCTGTGCTCTGGTCTCTGGTCTGTAGTCTGGTCTGGTCTCTGGTCTGGTCTGGTCTCTGGTTTGGTCTGTGCTCTGGTCTCTGGTCTCTGGTCTGTAGTCTGGTCTGGTCTGGTCCGTGGACACATGTGAGAACTTTCTGTGCTCTCATGTAAATCTAAATATTGTTGAGCTGATTGTGTTGATGCAGATTGGTTCCAGTCCCACTACATTATGTCAGATCTCACAGAATGACAACAGCTCCAGCTCAGAAAGACTCTATTGAAGATGAAAGTCCAATCCATGCGTTTTTGTATCGCCCTAAATCACAACAGTCGTCATTCTCTGAGGACTTCACAAACTGCAGATTCTCCAACACACATCAGAGAATCACACACACACATGTTCCATAAATGTGGAACAGGGAGAAGGAGAGGATTCTGGGTCATCAAAGCATCAGCCCTGACTCCAGACACTGAGGAAATGTCAGTGTTGCATCACCAGGTACACAACAGTAGGATCGAGGAGCACACGGCACAAGACACATGAACAATAACTCCAAACTAAAATAACCTCTATAACTTTAGCATAATAATAAAGAAGCAAATCTAAAATACTATCAACTGATTACTAGAATTAATGGAAAACTTTTAAAATAATTTAATATTGTTTTTTACTGAGAACAAAAGGGTTTTACAGAAGTGAGACTGTTCCCTCTGTGTCCAGCAGAGGGCGCCACTTCACCCCACTCCTCATCTCTGACCAGGAGAACCATAGCTGCAGGTCGAAGAGCCACATCCCGCTCAGACCTCTGAGCAAAGCTAAGCGGAGCATGGGCCCTGGTTAGTGCTGTGATTGGGAGACTCTGGGAACCCAGGTAGCCAAACTATGGCTGTTGTCCCTTAGGCAAGAAACCATTCCCCCCACATTAGAATGAGTCCTGGTGTGTGTGTTCTGTGGTGTGTGTGTGAGTGTGTGCGTCACTGCCTTTTATAGTCGGTTCTGAAGCCTCCCCTTACCTCCCCTTTCCTCACCCTTTTCCTCCCCCATTCTCCTCCCTGTTTGCTGTATGTAGACAACACACATCAATCTCTCTCATACCGGAGTCAGAAATCTGGGCTGGGAGAAACTTTACTCTGCCTGAGTCTGTGGGTTACTGTGGTCTGTGTTTATGAAGGGGGAGAGGGGGGAGAGGGGGGGAGAGAGGAGAGAGAGGGGGGGGGACAGAGAGGGGAGAGATGTGTGAGGGGTGAGAAAGATGTGAGAGATGTGTGAGTGGTGAGAGAGAAGTGAGAGGGGTACAGATTAGAATGTATGAGAGAGACGGGTGAGAGGGGTGAGAGAAAGGGGTGAGAGAAAGGGGTGAGGTGCTGATACAGTGAATATGAAGCTGATGTGAGGCTGTGGTCGTGGCTCTTTAGAGAAACGGAACCAGCTCCAAAGCACAGACTGTGCAGGTCTTCGGACCAAACGAATGAGGATGAGGCTGAGACTGAGATGGAGTCAGGTGGAGTCAGGTGGAGTCAGGTGGAGTCAGGTGGAGTCATGTGGAGTCAAGTGGAGTCATGTGGGAGTCAGGTGGAGTCAGGTGGAGTAGCGTGGAGTCAGGTGGAGTCAGGTGGAGTCAGGGGGAGTCAGGTGGAGTCAGGTGGAGGCAGGTGGCGTCATGGTGGAGCAGGTGGAGTCAGGTGGAGTCAGTGTGGAGTCAGGTGGAGTCAGTGGGAGTCAGGTGGAGGCAGGTGGAGTCATGTGGAGTCAGTGGAGTCATGTGGAGTCAGGTGGGAGCATGTGGAGTCAGGTGGAGTCAGGTGGAGTCAGGTGGAGTCAGGTGGAGTCAGGTGGAGTCATGTGGAGTCAGGTGGAGTCAGGTGGAGTCAGGTGGAGTCAGGTGGAGTCAGGTGGAGTCATGTGGAGTCAGGTGGTCAGGTGGAGTCATGTGGGAGTCAGGTGGAGTCAGGTGGAGTCAGGTGGAGTCAGGTGGAGTCTAGGTGGAGTCAGTGTGGAGTCAGGTGGAGTCATGTGGTAGTCATGTGGGAGTCAGGTGAGTCAGTGTCATGTCATGTGGATCAGTGGATTCAGTGGAGTCAGTGGAGTCAGTGAGTCGGTGATCAGGTGGAGTCATGGATCAGGTGAGTCATGTGGAAGTCCGGTGGAGTCAGTGGAGTCTGTGAGTCAGGTGGAGTCAGTGTGAGGTCAGGTGGAGTCAAGTGGAGTCCAGGTGGAGTCAGTGGGAGTCAGTGGAGTCATGGGAGTCAGGTGGGAGTCATGGTGACAGGTGGAGTCATGGTGAGGAGTCATGTGAGCAGTGAGTCAGTGGAGTCATGGGAGTCAGGTGGAGTCAGTGGTGCAGATCAAGTGGTGCAGGAGTCAGTGTGAGTCAGTGGGAGTCAGTGGAGTCTGTGAGTCAAGGGAGTCATAGTGGGAGGTGGATCCAGTGAGAGTCCTGTGGAGCATGTTCATGGTGAGTCAGGTGGAGTTCATGGTGAGGGTCCGTGGGATCATGTGGTCAGTGGAGTCCAGTGGATGCAGGTGGAGTCAAGTGGAGTCAGGTGAGAGTCATGTGGAGTCAGAGGATCGTGTCATGGAGAGGTGGTGATCATTGAGTGGTGAGTCCTAACCACGGAGACGGTGGCGTCTGTCATGTCCTCCTCCTCAGTCAGTTCACAGTACACAGGGCACGTACACTCTCTCCTCTCTCTCCTCTCTCTCCCTTCTCTCCCCCCCTCTCCTCTCTTCTCTCTCACTCTCTCTCCCTCCTTCCATCTCCCCCCCTCTTCTCCTCTCTCCCCTCCTCCCCTCACCCCCCTCTCGCCTCTCTCCCTCCCTCTCACCTCTCCTCTCTCTCCTCTCTCTCCCTCACTCCTCTGTCTCCTCTCTCTCCCTCCCTCCTCCCTCTCTCCCCTCTCTCCCTCACTCCTCTCTCCTCTCCTCTCTCCTCCCTCTCACTTCTCTCCCTCTCCCCCTTCTCTCCTCTCTCCCTCCTCTCTCCACTCCTCCCTCCCTCCCCTCTCCCCCCCCTCTCTCCCTCTCCTCTCTCTCCCCTCCTCTCTCTCCTCTCTCTCCCCTCCTCTCCTCCTCTCCCCTCTCTCCCTCCCTCTCTCTCCTCCCTCCTCTCTCCCCCTCCTCTCTCCCCTCCCTCCTCTCCCCTCTCTCCCTCCTCTCTCCTCTCCTCTCCTCCCTCCTCCTCTCCTCCCCCTCCTCTCCCTCCTCTCTCCTCTCTCCCCTCTCTCCTCTCTCCCTCCTCCTCCCACCTCTCCTCCTCTCCCTCCCCTCTCCTCCTCCTCCCTCCCTCTCCTCTCTCCCCTCCTCTCTCCTCCTCTCTCCCCCTCTCCTCCTCTCTCTCCTCCTCCCTCCTCTCTCCTCTCTCCCTCCTCCTCCTCCTCCCTCTCCACCTCCTCTCCCCCCTCTCTCTCTCTCCTCTCTCTCCTCCCTCCTCTCTCCCTCCCTCTCCTCCCTCTCCTCTCTCCCTCCTCTCCTCCACCTCTCCTCTCCTCCCCCTCTCCCTCCCCTCTCTCTCCCCTCCTCTCTCCCCCTCTCTCTCCCCTCCTCTCCCCTCCTCTCTCCTCCACCTCCCTCTCTCTCTCCTCTCCTCTCCCCCCTCCTCTCCTCTCTCTCTCCCTCCTCTCTCCCCCTCCCTCCTCTCTCCTCTCCTCCCCTCTCTCCCCTCTCTCCCTCTCCCTCCCTCCTCTCTCTCTCCTCTCTCCCTCCCTCCTCTCTCTCCCTCCTCCTCTCCCTCTCCTCCCCTCTCTCCCCTCTCCCTCTCCCTCTCTCCTCCTCCTCTCCCTCCCTCCCCCTCTCTCCTCCCTCCTCTCCTCTCCCTCCTCTCTCTCCCTCCTCTCCCTCTCTCCCTCCTCTCTCCCCTCCTCCCTCTCTCCTCTCCCTCCCTCTCCCTCTCTCCCCTCCTCCCCTCTCTCCTCTCCTCTCCCTCCTCTCCCCTCCTCCTCTCCTCTCCCTCTCCCCTCCTCTCCTCCTCTCTCTCCCCTCTCCCCTCCTCCTCTCCTCCTCTCCTCTCCCTCCTCTCCTCCCTCTCTCTCTCTCTCCCTCCTCTCCCTCCCTCCCTCCTCTCCTCTCCCCCTCTCCCTCCTCCTCTCCTCTCCTCCTCTCTCCTCTCTCTCCCCTCTCCCTCCTCCTCCTCTCTCTCTCCCTCCCCTCTCCTCCTCTCTCTCCCCTCTCTCTCTCCCTCCTCTCCCTCCTCTCCTCTCTCCCTCCTCCTCCTCTCCCTCCCTCTCTCTCCTCTCCCTCTCTCCCTCCTCTCTCCTCCTCCCTCTCTCTCCTCTCCTCCCCTCTCTCCCTCCTCTCCTCTCTCCCCTCTCTCCCTCCTCCTCCTCTCCTCTCCTCCCCTCTCTCCCTCCTCTCCTCTCTCTCCCCTCTCCCTCTCCTCTCTCCTCCCTCTCCTCTCCTCTCTCCCTCCTCTCTCTCTCCTCC